CTGCGCTTGTTCCAAGTTGCCCATTCTTCCGTCGGCAATCTCTTGAGCCCCAGCATCGTGCGCATCTGTGCGATTTGCACGGAATTGACAGCTCGCAGTAGGCTTGTGTGGCAGGGCCACGTCTGGCAAGCCCAGAGTGCACTTTGACGCACTAGGATGACATGCAGCTTGAGTTTGTCACGCAGGCTGGCTTTGGACGTGAATGCGTCTCGGTGGGCCCAAAAGGCTTTCCTCGCCCTGCTCTGCATCTCAGCGACCAGCATAGGGGTTCCCCCCTGGAAGGAGAGGGGGCTTCCGAGCACGTAGAACATGTGGTGCGGTCCCTTTGTCGGCACCACTTCCCCCGCCACGTTGAACTTGACTGGGGTGCTGTTGTTCCGAATGATGTCCGTCTTCGTAGGGTGCAGGAAGAGACCTCGCCGGGGAAGTCGTTCCCCGAGTTGGTCCAACATCGCCTGCATGTGCCTTTTTGTCCACTGACCATATGTAGTTGTCGTCCATGTAACTCCCCCCATCCTCGGGGGGGGGGTTGCCATTCTTCGGCTTGTGTGCTTGGGCGGCGGCGATGGACGCGTCAAGGTCCTCGGCAACAACGGCTCCAAATGCGACTGGGCTTTCTGGAGCGCCCTGGCGTACGCCGTTGCTCTGGTCTACGGGGATGCATTCCCCGGCCACGTGGACCGTGATGCGCTGCGCATGGAGGAGGGAGACCCAAGCTCGGGCTTCCCAAGGCAGTTTGCCTTTTTCCCCCACTTGTTTGCTGATGTGGGAGGCGAGGCTCTCTTGGAAAATGCTGTCGAAGGCCTTTCGTATGTCTAGTTTGGCAATGTACATTTCCAAGCCCCAGTCATGTGCAATTCTGGCAATGCGACGAAGGATCATGATGAGTTCGATTCCCTGGCGTCCTTTGCGGCACCACTGCAGTCTTGCTGGGGTCTGTACCGAGTCCCCCGCTCGCTGAAGGAGAAGTTGTCCGAATGTTTTCAGCAGAACGGACGTCAATGTAATGGGGCGGGTCTCCCCCCATGCCAGCGGCTGTGGCACTTTTGCCAACAAGATTGTGACGCTGGCCTCGATGCTCTCCACTATGCGGGCCGTGTAGAGCATGTCGTTGAAGAGTTCAACGAGCTTGTTCCCCCAGACTGGGTGGGAGAGCATGGCCTTGAGGGCCTCGTGTGAGACTCGGTCGGGGCCACACGATTTCCCATTCTTCCACCGGCTTCTCGTCGCTTGGAGGTCCTCCAGTTGGAAGGGTCTCCAGGGCTGTTGCTTGCAGAGGCGGGCCAATCGCCCGAGGGTGTCCTGTATGGCCATTGACACGGTAGTTCTCCGCTGCTTGGCGAAGATGCTCTCGAAGTGCTTCCGGAGTTTTTGTCGCCAGTCCGCGTCGTCCGTGAGGCCCAACTCCCAGTCATGGTTGCGGGCTTGTTCCACCAGGGCTCTTTTGGTGGCCCAGTCTTGCTCCGCCACCAGTTGCATGGCCTTTCGTTGCCATTGTCGATGTTCGGCTTGGTGTTGTTTGCGAGCCGCCTTCCAAAGCTGTCGGCGGTTTTCCCCCGGCTGTTCTCGAACGGCTCTGGCTCGGAGTTGTTTTAGTTCGCTGCTTTCTCGAAAGGGTCGTCTGGCCTTCCCCGGACGGGTGATCTCGACGGCAACGTCCTGGATGAGGCGGACGGGGTCGCCCCCGCGTCCTTGGGAGTCTTCCAAGACTTGCTTCACCTTGGTACTCGACAACAAACTGCGGCTCGTCCATGCTGGTGCGGGCTTGCGTTCAGCGGGTCGTAGTTGGACCTGGGTGAGCGGGACGGCTATGGCTTCATGGTCGGATGTGGCGATATCTCGGTGGTTGAGCACTTCCCCTGGGTCACACAAGAGGTGCTTCACTAGGATGTAATCGAGGCGTCGTGGTTCCATCTGGTGGTTGTATGGAAAGTGGCTTGCTTTCCCCAGCTGCTGCTCGGGGAGGTGCAGCTGTTGCTCTTCGAACCATTGAAGGAGTAGCTCCCCCCGTGCTGTTGCCGCTTTGATTTGCTTGTTCTGACATGCGGGGGTGAAGCTCTCATTCGCATCGATGCCCACGATTGTCTTGTTGGTGGTGTGAATGTGAGGTTGGATCTGCTGAAGGATTTGTTCTGTGTGCGATAGGGTTGCGTGGTGGGGGATGTGTATGGAGACTGCTGAGATTCTTGGGTTCTGTTGGGTCTGTGAAGAAAGCACACAGCTGAGCGCACACGACAAGACCTTTCCACGGGTGTGCTGCAAGTTGGAAGTATGCACTACGGCATTCCCCCGCCAGTCTTCGGGTCCTTTGCCGAAGAGAATCTGCAGCTCCTCCTTTTCAGCATGATGTTTCCCCGGCTCGCAGATGATCTCCTGTACGAGCAAAACCAGGGTATCGGTGAAAGGCTGAATTCCCCCGCGACGGAGAGCCAGGATCGCATCTAGTGCTTTAGCAGCAGATAGTCCCCCGACGTTCCAGCTTAGGGCATGCATCTTCTCTCTGAGCTCCGGGCGCGGGACATCCCCCGGAGTTGCAGTCTCTTTGTCGACTCACATCAGCGCTTTGCGGAGGTCACCCCACCGCGTGGTCACTGCATCTTCGGATCCCCCGATTTGCCGCGTCAGGTTCCCGAGGTGCACCCAACCAGCTTTCTCGACTGAGGCGCCACTCGGTGCCGAGGTCACCCCCGAGGCCAGCTTCACGCTGTTATACCATAAGTTTGCAGTCCCGTACTCGACCTCGATGCGGGAGGGGTCGCCCCCTTCTTCAATGATGAGGCGCTTGACTTTGCCTGCCAGCTGAGCTCGCTTGCGTCTCTCGGGGCTCTGCGACATTGTGGCAAAAAGGTAGCGGTGTCCCCCTTCCGGACGCTGCTCCTGTGATGATTTTTGCTTCTCTCACGAGTCGTAGTACACCTTGTATGCGGGCCCTCTGGTCAGCTTCGGTTTCCCCCGGTGCCTTGGCAAGAGGGACGATGGTGAACCCCCTGCGGAGCCCGGGAACAAACGCTTGGCTTATGTCCAAGTCGGCTTTGAGGTCCTGCATGTGCTTCCGCATGAGTCGGAGGGTCTCCTCGTGGTGCTGGTCCGAGTCCCATCCCCCGATGATCAGGGCGGGTTTCTGCCCCCCGGCTTCTGAATCCGAGGTGCGGGTACTAGACACCGGGAAGTCGGCTTTGGCAAACTTGCCTTCGAGGAGCTCAAGTCGCTGCAACACGGAGCTCTGTTTTTCCCCGACTTCCTTGACGCTCTCCTCCATTGCACAGTGTCGGTCTGTCATGGCTTGCATCAGGCGTGTGGTATGCGTGACGTGCACTTGCATGGCTTGTTCGACCTCACTGACTCTAGTGTTCAAACCTTCCATGTCGGTGCGAACCTTGGCCACGATTTCTTCGCGGTTCTCCTTGAGGGCTTCCAAGAGTGTAGAGAGAGTGAGCGGACGCTCACTGTCATCTTCGTCCCCCAGGGCTTGGCGCTTGCGTCCCCCGACTGCGGGGTCGGGCTCTCCCCCGCCACCATTGCCGCTGGCGGTCGCCATTGGATCTTGGCTAGGTCGCCGTTCTCGGGGTAGCTCTCGATCAGGTAGTTGATGGAGTCCCCCGCCCAGCAGCAATGGAGAGCGCGGAGTTTTTGTTCTGGTTGTCCCCCTGTAGGCTCGCCGATCTTGATCGCAAAGCAGTACAGGAAGTCCCCCGCTCGCCGGATCTAGGATGCCCTCCTACTCTGACCTTGACGATGTCCCCCCGCCGGACCTTCAGCAGGAAGACGCAATGTACGGTCGAGGATCACGTTTAGGACGATGGCGGGGCGCGGTTCGCTGTAACTCTCTCCCCCCACGCACCGGGTTTGAGATCCTTCTCTCTCAGTTTTACGGGGCTCGGACCTTGAACCA